TTTTTTTTTTTTTTTTTTTTACCGGAGAACGGTCAGTCTGAGGAGAATCGTTTAATCGTTCAATATAAGGCGAACAAAGCCCGCGAAATAAGGGAAGCAAAATAATGCGTGTGCGCTGTAATTGCTACCTTGGTCCGATTGTTAAAGAAGAAGATGAAGCCTCGAAATCGACAATTCTCTGCCCGAAACGAAATCTTTTTTTAAAAATCAAAGTAACGATCACTATGTTCTATTTGTTATTGCCATGAGATTATCGTATAAAGCTAAATTAATAATTTAAATTATATTGTATTATTATTGATACTAAAGTATTATTTGATATTAAACTAAATGGAAGATCACTGAAGTGCAAGGCTGTAATTAAATTACCGAGTAACGTGACATTTATTAATATATTCTGATGAAATTATTTGAAGTACAAAACTAAATTAATGATCTAAGCTGCGTCGTTGAAACAAATATACAGAAATAAATATAGAAATTATTGAAATACAAAACTATAATTAAATTGTTGAATACCATGACGTGTGTTGATATATTGTGACAGAATTGTTGAAAATATAGAACGAAATTAACAATCTAAACTGTGTTTATTGATATGTAGAACTAAATGTGAAATTACTGAATAATAATAAAACGCACAATAATATTGATTATATTGAAATGTGAAATGATGAATAATCGGTATTATCAATTGTAACATTTGAAGGAGAATTCACGAATTGCCATGATGATCATGTCTATTTCGCGACTTAATTCGTGTCGCCGAATCTTCAGATGACGATTAGTTAGTAATCGAAACGATATTGAATAATCTTACTCGCACAAGAAAATGATTTCAATGCTTAACATTTACACATGTTTCCGTGAATGAGACGAGAACAGCGAATGCAAATGTGCACGACGAATAAAGGATATTGACGTTGTCTTGCGATCATGCAACAAGCATGACTCCATTGCCAGACCAACATTCCAAAGTAATGTAGTGGCTATCGATTGAAAAAAAAAAAAAAAAAAAACGAGAGAGAATGACGATACTCACTTTTCGTGGTTTCGTCTCGTTGCTGGATCAAGGAACTCTTCGGGCCACCGTTTTGATTTGCGTAGCTTTGGTCAGGCTTCGTGTCATCTGAAAATGCAAGCACAAACACTGTGAAGCATCAGACTATTACAAACTTTCATACTTGTATCGTACAGTTTTATTTCTTAGATGAATCACGTATTATATTTTCCTGCACGTGAAAAATTTGAAGCACACTCGAGGACTTTCCGAATCTCAAATATTTTCAATATTCTTTCATACTTTTCCAGAATTTTAGATGTTTCCTTGCGTTGTGTTATTTGATCCAAAATGAAAGAGACAGTGGAATAGTAAATAGATAATTGATTTATTAATATGGATAATTTAAAAAGATACGGAAAGAAAAAAAGAAATTATAGAACAATCGACCAAAATTTCAATAATTTTCATACCAAACTAACATCGCGTAGATTCACGTTCTCTGAATAGTCTTTCCGCCAAACAATATCAGAATTACCTGACGCAATGTTTGGAATCAACTTAATTTAATGGATGTTGTTTCTGAATTAGAGCCATTACAAGCCCAAATTAATACTTTAATATTAACACCTTTTGTTTTGAGAATCAATTTAATCGATTTGAAACTATAAAAATAGCAGTGTCAGTAATTAACAAAGCCTGCCAATATATTTATTTATTATAGAATACACGTTTATAATTAAACAATATTTTCGAACTACATTTTCTACAT